ATCTCCAAAAATCCATCTTTGCTGTTGCAGTGTATCTCTGCCTTGTGACAGAACTTGGTGAAACTTGGTGGCTCAGGCTGGGCAGGGGCCAAAGCAGCCAGTTCAAACAGGGGTGATGCCTTTTGGGACTATGTAAAAACAGAGGCCAGACCAAATCAAGGGAATACAAAGCAGATCTGTTTATTGAAGGGCCTTCAGGTCCATTTCAGGCAGACAAAGCACCCCCAGGAGCTACACCCAAAACTGCTTAATCTTCATTTATAGCTTCAGGTAATGAGGTAATTTACCCGCAGTTTGTTCTCCCCAACTCACTTTTGTTTCCATCTCTCAGGGCCTGAGGCAGTGAGGTTTCCTTGATTCCCAGGCCTAGAGAGGAATTGTTTTTTCTGACCAAAATGGGAAAGCATCAGCTGACACTGTATATGGAGTTTAGAGTTATACACTGAAGAATCTCAGGATTACAAATACACAAAAAATAGAAAAGCTAAAATCCTAAGGCATCAGGGGTGAATAGCAACCAGCTGCAATCTTGGAGCACGAGGATCACCAAGTGCCTGACTGCTCAGAGGCTGCTCAGAACTGCAGGCGTCCAGAGCATAGCCCCAAACCACGTGGGTCAAGTGCAGCAGGAACAAAACTGCCTCCAGCAACCTTGAGTGGCAATCTGGCTAAAGCTTTGTCTGCTCAAACCTAGCCTAAGCAAGGTTTAGGAGGAAGAAGTAAATGTGAAGCTGCTAAAAAGCTGCCCAGGAGAGGCAGCAGCTATGTGGGGGCCTGGCAGCCGAGGTTCACCCAGCGCAGCCTTTAGAGGGTTTGTCTGGTGGTACCAGTCCAGGGTCAGCCTGTGGGTGTATCTTGAGGGCAGATAAAATTCACTGGAAATGACCCTGTGAGAGCTGGTGTGCTTTGCCACATGAGTCTCAGAGGCACAGGATTGTGCCTGGGAGGAGTGGATCAGAATTCCCCAGCAGCCTGTGTGGCAGACAGAAGTGTGAGCAGGCTTGTGACAGCTGTGGGCAGGCCTGTACTCATTGGGCTCTGTGCTTTGGGGAAGGAGTGGCAGCTCTGCAGGCAGTGAACCC